AGCCTTCACATACAATGGCCTCAGATGTTTGGTTAATTTCATAGTTGGTCTTTTAAAGATGACCTTTCCAGCTGCATCAATTTCCACTTTCTGTCTGTCCTCTGTTGAATTATCTCTCTGCGATAAATCAACATGCAGTGCTTCGGGCTGAGAACCTGCTCCTTGGACTTCCTCCTTACTTTGCAGTGTCTCCTCGTTATTTATCCAACCTGTTGGGAGAGGTAAAATTCTTGGGGGTGACCCATACTTCTCAGAACAAGGCACCATTTTCTTCCTCTTAGGTGTCCCATACAGCACATAAAATTCAAAAGAACACCCAGATGGTTCTCCCAGTAAATCCACCCCACGAACACCTTCCTAATATAGTTGTTTCAGTAAAGTATTGCGCGATACTCCTCTCTTTCTTCTTTTTCCTTCCAGATCAATTTCCTCTTCAATGTCTGTCATATCATCATCCTTTTCGTCATCGTAGGCTTCTCTGGAAGTTTGACCTTCTTCACATTCTAGCACACATGCTTCTTCTTCGTTATCCTCATTTTTCTCTTTTCCACTTTCCTTATTCTTGAATTCATTGGCCAATAGGTAATTATTAGCTATGACAGGAGGTAAAATGCCAAACTGAATAGTAAGGGGTTGCTCTGGATCTTCCTCATTGCTTCTATCTCGCTCATACTTTGATCTTCCACAAGAACTTTCTGGTAAGCCTTCCACTGATTCACGTGTACCAGTTTCTTCGCTATTTTTGAGAACATTTTGATTTGCCACTCTGAGTAACTTAGACGCTTTAGGATGCGGTAATCCTTGTTGTTCCCTCATCATTCGTCCATAATTCCGTTGAAAGCGCCTTTGCTGAGTCCTAGTCATTTCATTGAAGGGTATAACTCGTCCTACATTGTACTGAAATGAATGCCATACATTCAGTTGGCAAGGCTAGGGCCTAAATGTTCTCCCACCGTTCGTCGTCCTGAACTCCCTTTTAAATGGAGGTCTTCTATAAATGACGCACCCTGTCCTCTACCAGGCTGAGAGTTTGGGATAATCTCAAGGCGATATTGATAACGCCATGTTCCGGGTCTTTCCACATTTGCCTCTATTTCTTGCTTGCATCTAGCACACAGAATACCTTCCTCCTCCCTAGGCTTCTTTCCTGTAATACGCTCAAAAACACTAAGATGAGATTCAACATCTTCTTCCCCATAGTCTACCACTAACTTAAACTTTGGCAACTTGTTTTTGAGACCAGTCGTCACCATGTTCACTCCAAGTGGCTGTGGAAAAGGATTTTTATCCACTGCCATTTTCTTCTTGTCTTTGAACGTAATTCGTCCTGACTCGATAGCATCCTATAGCACATGACAGAAAACCAGACAATTATTAGTCTGACAATTTATGCTTATCACTCAACTTAATTTGCTTATCCTTATATAATTTATCGAAGATAAGGTCAACTTTGGTCACATCAAAAGAGAATGCCCTAGCCTTTTTACTATCATTTTTCATAGGCTCATTATTACCCAATGTTCTGGATTTGGCCATTATAGGACAAGCATATGCATTTCCCTTAACTAATTCGACCAGACATATTTCTATCTGATCATAATGTTCATCATTAATAACATGAACATCAAAATTTAGGTCTCTATAATAAGTCACTTTTCTAGAATTCTTCATTTGTTCCTCTTTTATTAATTGCTCATATCTAATTACATTGGCGCTCAGCTGGAACAAGTCAGGGAATTCCCTGTCTTGAAATTTCTTTTTTTAAGTCAAAGTTTAGACAATTTTGAGCGATCTTGACGAATTACTTTTCGGGTAGAGGTACAAAACATTTACTCCTGACTGTTTTAAACCTCTGAAAGAAACCCTCTGCCCGTTCATTTGGCATTTGACGTAAATTTGCCAAATCAGCCAAAGTAACTTCAGATTTTGTCTTATAAATCTGAGTATGGAACAATTGTTACAGTTGTTGCCATGTTTGTACAGAGTTTGCTTGCAAATTGATTAGTCATGAGAAGGTTCNTAAAGTAGAGACTTCTCCCAGGCCCGTGAATAATGAGAATTCAGGTATTTTGTACTCTCTAGGCCATGGATATGATTGATCCACCCAATCAGGATATGGTTTCGTGTAAGTCGGCCTGATAACGGGGCGTACCCACAAGTCATTTGATCCTATACTATTTCCATGATTTGATTTCTCAACATGATGTTGTGATTATATGGAACTCCTACAAGTTGGTTTAATGGTTGATTTGCTTGAGGTCTAATATTTAGTCTTTGGTTAGCAACGAAATTGCCATTGTTTGGGCTAGTATTACCATTAAACTGGGTATTCACATTATTATTAACGCGCGAGATGTTCTGTCCGTCATTGAAGACATCATATCTCATATTTGGGTTACCCTCCAAGTTTGTAATCTCTTTACCACCATTTAAGTTTGGCGTTCCATTACCTCCTTGGTTCGAAGTAGACGGACCAAAGGGTGGCTCTAAACCTTGGTTAGGATTCAAGATTGGAGAACTGTGTCCCGCAATTGCCCGGTTTGAAAGTGATTTCCCATTGGTAAAACTGGTTGACATATTTGGCCTGCTAACTTATTCATGACTTCATTTAACGTGCTCAGTTGTTTGGCCTTATTGTCGTAATATGTATTACCATTTTGAATAAATCTTTCTATATTATGAATGTTTCGAAAATTTACCTGTTCAACGACATCTTGTGTGAGCTCCCAAAGCAAGGCACGCATGGTTCGAGGACTCAACTCCGTCATTGGTTCGTAACGGCTGTGACTGCTTTGACTTTGTCCCTTTGTTCGTGGAGAGTTTTGCTGCTCCTCATATCGCTTGATTACAGATTGGACTACTCCCTGACTTGCTGGTTCCTTATCAGAACTTTTATGAGGCATATTACTTTTTGTATCCTCAAACACCAACTGTCCCATTGGGAGTGCCAAATTGTTTCGCCCAGGTTATCGCTAACAATTAAAAAGGGATCAGATGATTGTGTATGGAACAGACCTCTTGAGAGAAAGTCCCAAAAATGGGTGTTTATTGATGAAGATTACAATTGGAGATAAACAAGATGCCTCCAAGGGACGCAAACACACGAGTACAAGAAAATGATNCCAAAAATGGGTGTTTATTGATGAAGATTACAATTGGAGATAAACAAGATGCCTCCAAGGGGCGCAAACACACGAGTACAAGAAAATGATGAATTAAAGTTAATCTAAGAAAAGTAAATTACATAGTCTCTGTTTGAAAGTGATTTTTGTTCTTTTTTCCTCTATGTCTAGTCTTCCTTTTATATTCCCATATGATTTTTTCGTGACAAACCGCTTGGAAACTACTTAATTGCTTTCTAACTACTCATTTTCTTCATGGTGGCTAACTTGTCGTGGAACTGCCATCTCTGACTGCTGCCATTACTCTTTGTCATTCAACTGCCTTCAAATGGGCTCCTTAAATCGTGGGATGTGATAATTAGCTCGATAACTGTTTCAGTAACTACTATTCTGGATAACCATAATATCTCATGTATTAAGATTCTGGGCGACTTGAAGGTTCGAGCGAAAACGAGGTTGTCGCTCTGAGCGATCGTGAAGCACTCCATTCGCCCAAATTTTGGGCGTCTTATAGGATTGGGCGATGATGTTACTGTGTTCCTGGGCTTCCTCTATATTCATCAATAACCTTATTTGGGCCTTTATCCTGGACTCTTCAATTGGGCTTCAATTTGGGCTGTACTTTTAGTGTGTCGACAAATAGACACTCAAATTTAAATTTGATTTCCAATGCATTCTATGAACTGTAATCTATGCGTATTTTGTTTCTTAAAATATAAACAAAATCCTATCTTCATATGGATAGGAAGTATAAATTTGGAAAAAAAAATTCCTAAGTCGGCATGTCTAACACAACTTCAAATCTAGACAGAACCATCGATAATGTCTATTTTTTCACGTGCCTCGTAATCTTGACCGAGTAATATTAGATTGTATTTGAGATGAAATTTTTTAAACATTGTTGGCAAAAGTTTTTTAGCAATTCACGGTTGCATTGGAGATGATTATGACACTGGAGTAAGATTTACTTTAAATAATAAGTAATTCCTTAAAATCAAGAAATAAAGTAATATATTTGTTTTAAAAAAAAAAGTCGCTAATTTTTACATTTTTATGCTTAGCCAAAACAAGCTCGAAGTCCATGTGCAAGAAATCATGCAAAATGGAGCACATATTCCATTTGGATAACATGGGTAGCTAAATTATATAAGGACAAGTGAAACCATGTGCCGACGAAATAAATAACACCCCCAAATAAAACATAAGTTATGTATGCATTTCGTTGGGAGTATATAATATACGCGTGCGAGTAGAGATTGATCATATATTTATAAATACGACTTGCTTTAGACTTTAGTCGGTCGATGCTTATAGAAGAATAATTAGAACAAGGGCGTTAAATAGCATTATTATTGACAAAATTCGTGACTTGAGAAATTTAGTAACTCATTGAAGAATCCTCAAATTCGTTGAGACTTCACTCTCAAAAAATAGGCCACGAAAATTTATAAATAAATTAGTATCAAATCAAATTATGGAACTTTCTCACTTTGAGCTCAAAGAATTTTTTTTTTGTAAAGTCTTGGATCTTGTTTGGTAGGAATTAAAATCCAATTAAAATTGAAAATATAGCTGTTATTGGGTCTTACTCGTCTAATAAAAGTCAATAATAACAACTAGTTTTTCAATTTTAATCCGATTTTAATCTCTACCAAACACACTCTTGCTTAAATTTATTTAGATAATTGATTTGTTGTGCCAAATATTTCATTCAATACAATAGATTGAACAAAACAACATTAAATAAATGAAAAGAAGTGGATAGAACTGTGTTGTCTAGTTGGGTTCAATGCTACATACAAAACTAAAATTCCCGTCTTCCTCGAAAAAAGATGACAAAAAAAGGAGGAAGAATAAAACAATGGTACACTACATTGTTCAGTCTCCCATAACACAACAAAGCTCAATTGAACCAAAATCAAGCAACTCCTCAATCATCTGTTCTATATGATCATCTTCCAAAGGCTTGAATTGTTCATCACTACTCCCTACATGGCTTTCACAACTCACATAATCCCCCGACAACTCGACCCCTGCTCGACCGTATGCACCTCCATTAGGACATTGAGTTTGTTCTATTTCATTTGGCCTATTCATAACTGGTTTCTTGGCCATTTTGAGAGATTTCATGTGGCATTTTTGTAGCTTAGCCATTAGAGTTGCAGAAAGAAGTTCTGATGACGATGATTTAGGCTCATTCCCGTTCTTTGAAAAGTTTGTGCGTGCGCTTGGCCCGGATATGATCCTTGCAGCCTCATCATATGCTCGTGCTGCATCCTCCGCTGTCTCATATGTGCCGAGCCATATTCTTGTCTTTCTGCATACACCAGCAACATTTAAAACAATACCATCCAAGAAAAAGAGGCAAACAACGTATCAGAATAGATGAACATTCTAAGTTCGGATATCATCAATCAGGTCTAGGTGGCAGTGAGATGCGTTGACCGCCACCTAAACTACTGTTATGATGTTAAACGTATTAGAAGATGCGAATATTCTAACTCCCGATATCATCAATCATCACCGGTTTAACTGACAGTAGGCTCCATTGATTGCCACGTAAATTGTTGATATGTCGATTAGTATTATTCCACTTTTTGAGATAAAATTGGCTTTAAGTCTCTTAGACGAGGTGGTTCAACGAGATACAATCACCCCATCTAAGAACAGTAGCCTACAAACTACAGAGGCATTACATCAAAGACATTAGAAGCTGCAATTGGCAAGAGAGACATTACAGTAAAGGGTGGCGGATTTCGGAGACCCAAGAGCCCCAGCGCCTCTGTCGAACGCCACGGTATCGCTGTTGTGGTCTAGCCATTGTTGGTACACAGAAAGCAGAAGTTTTTAAGGAGAAAAATTGTTTGTGATAATAACACTGAGAGAATGGCAATGGCAGCAAATATGGAATTTGGGGGGTCTGGAATTGAAGTTGTAGGCATGCTTTGCGGCCTTCACAATGAGATTTGAGTATGAGGACCTACCAAATTCAAGAATTTCATGATTAAGAGTATCCAAGATCAATGATAATTATTTGCAAGAAATGATGGGTGGATAGGCTCGGGGTGGGAGTGGGGATAAGGGTACTATTTTTATAATTATAGGCTGCAGAATAGGTGAAGATGCTCGTATACGAGCACTTTTGTTTTTCTAAAAAATTCACATATTTTGTGAGGTTTGTAGGGTTTTTTTTAAACTTTTCAACCACACTCTCCAAAAGATATTTTTAACTTTAAAAATCGGCGTCAAACAAACTTTTGTCGTAGTAGAAAATTGTATGTAGAAGAAACAATTGCATGATTTCGATATGAAAAGCTATTGGTGTATAATACTTATCGACATGACAATACAGTAATGTTTAATAATATTTTATTAAATATAAAAAAAAATCATTTAATTAGACCTATTATTAAATGTCACTACTCTATTATGTAAGATGGATGCTACATGGCATTTCTCTTTCAATATTTGTGAGGATGCTAATGGAGCAACCGAGGAAGCTAAAAATGTTTCCTTGTTCTTTTTTGTTTTAGGGGCCGTTTGATAGGTTTAAATTCCATGAAAAATGTTATATTTGAGGAATTCAATTTCTACTTTGACTGTTTGATACGAAAGTGGCAATGGAGTTCGAATTTCGTTGTACAACCACTTTAAACTTGTTTTTTGCCAATTTCATAAAAAATGCATTCCTTTCGGTTAATTGGATTTTTATTTTCCAACTTACATGGAATTGAAAAGTCTTTCCACATTTACCAATGAAACGGACCCTTAATGTCAAAATTATGATTTCGGGGGGACTAGTTTTTAATCTTTTATTCTAGTTGCAAGTTAGTCCTCAGTCCTGAAAAATAAGTAAATCAATCTTTAACCTTTTATTATGGTTGCGCAATCAATTTGTAATAACAAAGCCGTCCAAATCTTTATTGAATCATCACGTGATCTTTGTAAATCCTAATTTATGAAGATGGGTTTGCTTCTTAATTTGAGTCATTGTCTCGAAGCTCAAAGCGGTGCTTGTTTCGTGAAAGGTTACTCGCAAGTTAACGAATATATTTAGATAATTTATGTCATCGAGGACTTATTGAGCAACTATAATAAAATATTGAGAATCAACTTAATACTTGAGCAATAGATTGATGACCGATAGTGCAAATTTTTCCAAATTTTGTATTTAAAAATTTAGAAGTTGTAAATCAATTTATTCATTTATTTATTTATTTATTTTTAAAGAAGCAAGAACTCTAAGGTGGAAGATTCTGAATAAACTAAACATAATTTGAATAGTAGATCCCTCTACCACGTAGGCGGGTGCTAATTAGTACCAATAGTGTTACATGACATTGTTATTCCAAATATTAGATGTCACATTTAGACAGCGTTTGGAAAGAATTTATTAACGAATTAAGTTATAAATAGATAGAAATAAATAATGAATAAGTAAGTGAATTAAAATGTATGATTAGAAATAAAATTTGACCATTTATTTCCATAATTTGCAATAATTGTGGGATTGTAAGTAGCAGCTATTTTTGACTGATCACATCCTATATTCAAGAATGCAATTTGCAAACGGATAAAAGTATTTCTTTTATCTATAAAACCTTATACATTTTTTATTAAAGCAATGTGCTGGTTAAAGGCATTCTCATATACGCCTTTTGTCTATAAAGACATTTATCTTTTTGTAGAGAATGTAAGAATGATAGTGAGTGTAAAAGACTACATCTCTCTTGTAGAAATTATTGGAGTCACTCTTAACGAGTTCAGGTAATATTTTGTCATTGTAGCATCTCATATTTATAAATTCATAATGGGGTAAGGAGGCTCAAGTAGTCTGGATCCACTAAGTTATTGAAGTCGAGCTCAG